TTCTTGTATGATTACACCCACACAGTGTAACTAGTGTAGAACGTTTGTTACTTGATTACACATAGTAAAACAGTTATTAAACTGATAAATAAGTACAGTTAGTAGTACATGATTCTTATTTGAGTGTACAGTTAGTAAAACATATTTATTACTTGATTACACAGCAAAAGAGTGGTTAACATGACTAGCCAGCAGCAGAAATTGTTTGTTACTTTGTTATACCCACAAGATAAAACAGCGAATAACAGGGCTAGAAATTACAGCTGGTAGAATATATATATATATATTACTTTATTACACACAGACAGTAATTAATGTCACAAGACAGTACACTTAATAAAAAAAAGTACATGATTATGCCCACACAGTAAAACAGTTATTAACATCACCAGTGAATATTGTAAGTACAACATGTTTATTACTTGATTACACGCAGGAAAAACCACGAATAACATGGCAAGTCAGTACATCTACTAAATATGTTTGTTACTTAATTACACTGGCACACTAAAATGTAATTAACATGACTAGTTAGTATATTTAGCAGAATATTTTTGGCACTTAACACACTAAAATGGAATTAACATGATTAGTCACTACAGTTAGTAGAACTTATTTTTTCTTTCATTATACAAAGTAATATAGGGAATAACATGTAAGTACAAGTAGTAGAACATATTCGTTACTTCATCAAAAACCATCAATAACTGATTAACATGATTAGTCAATACAATTAGTAGAAAATGTTTGTTATTTGGTTACTTTTAGTAAAACAATGATTATCATGATTAGTCAGTATTGTTAGTAGAATGTTTTGCTACATATTTACACTCACAGATTAAAACAGTGAAAAACATGACAAATTGGTACATTTTTAGAACATGTTTGTTAATTAATTAAACCAACAGAGTAAAACAGTGATTAACATTACTAGTTGGTAGACTTAGTATAACATGTATGAAACTTTATTACATGCAGTTAAACAGTGAATAACATGAAAAATCAGTACATTTATTAGAACATATTTTTAACAGGATTACACCCAGTTCAACAGTCATACTAGAATACAGTTAATAAAATATTATTTAATTTCTGTAGTGCATATTGGTGCATAGAAAACATGTTAATATTAGAAATAAATGACCTTATAACACCAAAATGTTTTTATTTAATTAGACACTCAATGTTGCACTTTACAGCTTCTACAGGAGCGTTCACTAAAACACAAACCGAAAATTACAGCACAAAGCTTTGATAAAAAAAAAAGTTAAACATTGAGTGTCTAATTAAATAAAATCAACATTTTGGTGTTATGAGGTTGTTTATTTCTGGTTAGTAAAATATTTTTATTACTTAATTACACATCATGAAACAATGAATAATATGACTAGTTAGTCCAGTTATTAGCACATGTTTTTTGTTTGACTACACCCAGTTAAACAGTGATTAACATGACTGGTCATTGCAGTTAGTAGAACATGTTTGTTTCTTTATTACGCTCAATAAAACAGTGTATAACATTTCTAGTCAATATAGCTAACAAATTGTGTTTTTAATTTGATTATACAATATAAAAGTGTTTATTATGCTAGTCAGGACAGTCAGTAGAACATTTTTACTTTGTTACTTGATTACACACAACAAAACAGTGATTAATATCACTAGTCAGTACAGTTAATAGAACATACTTGTTACTTAATTACACAATGTAAAAGGAATCAACACAACTAGTCAGTGCAGTTAATAAAGAACGTATTTGTTACTTGATTACTCTCAGTAAAACAGTGATTAACAAGACTACTCGGTAAGATAGCGTATTCGTTACTTGTTTACATGAAATCAGTAAAACAGTGCTTAACATGATTAATCAGTATAGTTAGTAGAACATGTTTGTTACTTAATTATACCCATGCAGTAAAACAGTGAACAACATGTCAAATCAGTGCATTTTGTAGAACATGTTTGTTAGTTAATTACACTAACATAGTAAAACAGTTATTAACATGACTATTTAATACAGTTAACATAATATATTTGCTACTTGATTATACAAAGTAATATGGGAATTAACATGCCAGTATAATTAGGAAAATATGTTTGCTACTTGATTATACACAAGTCAGTTATTAATGTGGTTAGTACATTTAATAGAATATCTTTCTTTATAACACACAATAAAATAGTGAATAAAATAACTAGTCAGTACAGTTACTAAAACATATTTGTTACTTGGTTACACTCAGTAAAATGGTGATTAATGTGACTACTCAATACATTTAGCAGAAAATGTTTATTACTTTATGACACCCATTCAGTAAAACAGTGAATAACATGACAAGTTAGTACATTTAGTAAAACATGCTTGTTACTTTGAAAAACTAAGAGTTATTAACCTAACTAATCATTTCTGTTAGTAGAATATGTTTGTTACTTGATAAAAACGTTACGTGTTAAAATGTGATTAACATGACTAGTCACTATATTATTTAGAACATTTTTTATTTGATTTTACAAAATGATATAGAGATAAACATGTTAGTACAGCTAGTAGAACATTCTTGTTGCTTTGTTACCAACATTATAACTGATTAACATGAATGGTCATTACAGTTTGTAGAACATGTTTGTTACTTATACACAATAAAACTATGAATAACATGACAAGTCAGCACAGATGGAAAAAATTATTTTTACTTGATTTCACACTCACTGATTAACATGCCTAGCCGGTACACTTAGCAGAAAATATTTGTTACTTCTTTATACACAGTAAGAGAGTGAATGACATGTCAAGACAGCTGGGAAACATTTATTACTTGATTATACACTGTAACAGTTAAAAACATGATAAATCGGATAAACAGAGTAAAATTTAATAAACGTACAATGTTTCACCAGGTTAACCTGGCATCAGGTACATCAACTACAATGAATGCATTGAAACTACAAATATATATAACAATACAGTGCAAGGGTACATTGAACTTTGATTGGGTAAATTTAACAGTAAGGTATTTAACAAGAATTGAAATGTTATTTTTTTGGTTATTAGGTCGTCAAGAAATTAATGTCGCATGTTTTTAGATAAAAAACCTGAACAACTTATATAGAACAACAACACAATTATTAAATGAATTAGTCTCCATTAT